CCTTAGACACAGCAAGGTGGAACGTTCTAGAGGCCAGTCATATCTAAAATGCAGCGCGGCCAAATGTTTCCACAAACAATCCTTTCGCCCTGCCTCAGCTGTAGCCTTCAGCAACATTCCGTCCCTGCTACAAGTTTCCAACTTCCTCGCACGTTCCTGCCATCACGAGCCGGCTCCAAAAGCAGTCGCCAGGCTATCGCCCGGGACCCCAACGTCTGCTGGCAGCTGTCGCACATCTGTGGCCTTCGTGCGGTAAACCTTAGAGCACATGCGGAGGCGACCATCAAATTTTGTAATCTTTTCAAAACGTTCCTGCCTTGCCCTGTCCTACCGCTCTGTGAGAACCACTCTGGAAGACGACAAGATCCCCGGGGCCCACGCCACCAGCCCTTTGAGACGCTGCGTAGGCTGGGCAGACGGTGCAGGGGGTTCGATTTCAGGGTGGCTCTCTAGGCTTTGTTTCAACTATGTGAGGGTCTAATGCAATAGACCCCCAGTGCCATGTGGGAGCCTACGCTCCATTCACCAATAGCTCCAAGTTCTAGCTTCAATGCTTCTTTAACCCCTGACTGATATCGTGTCTGTGAAGCCTGGAAATTTTCTAGCCTTCCTGACCTCTGAAATCTCTCCTGGCCTGTACACACTGCGGAAGCTGACCGGACCACTCCGCAGAAAGCATCGCCCGAGCTAGCTCCTCAACGGCGACGTTGGCAACAGGAATGATGCTCACCGCAACTATTCAGAAGACGACAAAGAAGTATCAGGACAGCCATGATGCCAGAGTGAGAGGGAGGGAGAGAGAGAGACAGAGAAAGAGAGAGAGCAACTCGCTTGCACGTTTGAAGTCGCCCCGGCACATGTGCGAAGAAAGACATCCTCGACAAGGACCAAGTCAAGACCCCCGGTGACAGCGCCCCCTGGTGCCCGTCCTTCGTGGCCACACGACACTGGACCTCCACGGAAATTCAGAGTTCTTAGGGGGTATGGCGTGTAGTGAGGACAGGTGGGATGCAATTTCTACAAAGCTAGGCTCCCCAAGACGAATCTTGAGCAGCTGCTACGTATCCGCTGGCTCTCGTGATAAGGATGAAATCGGTGAGCACTGTGCTAGCATGAAGCACCCCTCCTTGGGCGGGCCTCGAACTCCTGCTGCCGACCCGGATAAGGTGACATGGCCTTGTCGAGCGTGTCCTGGCGCGCTAGTTCAGCTGCAGAGCCACAGAAGAGACTTGAGAAAAAAGCACTAACACAACCTGATGAATACCTGCAAGAGGATTCTGAATAGGTCTTGCCTTCGACTTTACATGGTTTCAACTGATGAGGGGCTGAGGTGGGCGGCCGCAACTCAAAGAGGAAAGGACAATACCACAAATTGACGCCCACCTGGCTGATGGAGAAGATCTCTGACTGGTAGCATGCACCTTGACTTGGATATGCGTTAAATTCTTACGCGAACATACTCGGCAAGATCCTTCCTGCAAGGACCTCCTGGCTTTGCACAGGTCCAGTGCAGGATGTAGATGCCGAAGGATTGCCCTTTCTATTACTTTAGGCGCCCTTGCTCCTCCCCGAAACTACAGGCCCCGAGAAAGTAGATGAGAATTGGGAAGTTTCTCAAACACCAGTTGAGGCCCTGACCGCGAAAGCGAAGCGGTGCCACAGCGCAGTGGCCAAATGCCTGCACCAGTTCAAAGGCGAGTTCCCCGCAAAAGGACATCCATTTGATTCTCTGAGGTACAAGGAGAGCCCCAACCTGGGTGGGGGATCTTGGTCGTCAAAAGCTGGTACAATAAACGGCGCGGAAGCTTTTGCCACCGCATCTGAATAGTTCGAGCATCTTACAGTATACCGGCAAAACATGGACACCTTGGTCTCAAACTGTCTGACTTGAGCAGAACAAAAGGACGCATGTCACATTGGCGAAGGCAGTATGAAAAGGTCACTTAGATGTCGACCCAAGGGCAAACCATCTCTTAGTCTTCAACTCAACACAAAGCCGGCTTTCCTCAGCCTAATCATCCAACGCCCTCATTCAGCGGCCTCCAGCTCTCCATAGATTCCACAGAGGATTTGGATGATGTCCTGCCATCCAAAGCAGGATTGACCTGAGAACCTCCTTCGTGACAAGGCCTCACCAGACTGCGCTTCAGCGGACACAAGTAAACAAGTAGCCTGGCTTGGGGATGGAAACCTTTGAATAGTAGCCCTAAGCAAAAGCCATCAGGCGCCAGTGGTGTGCATCATGAAACGATGGTCCCTAAGACAAGTCCCCTGAATCTCAGAGTTTGCAGAGCTCGTCCTCGCAGTTGGGCCCGGAAGCTGAGAGGCCCACGGACTGGCAGGGCAGGAGGCGGGTGCGAAGACGTTTCATGCGCTCCAGGAGTGCTGTCACCAACATCGGAGCTTGTTGGGCTTACAGGCTTCTGAATGCTGAAAGAAAATGTCCACCTTGCTAGCGATGGCATACGATCTGGCATTGTATGCTCAGAGTCAAGCAACCGCCTCCGTCAGGAAGGACCTCGCCCTCTGGATCAACCCCCTGGCCATCGGGGCAGCTGAAGGTTCACGCACACAAATACAGCGCATGTACACGTTGCCTGGGATTAGTGTGGTAGCCGCGATGCTCTTCCTTCCAAGAGAAAAGTGATGCCTCGTAGGAGTGGGATGCCGCCGCCGCGATCGTTCGACTCGATGGGCCTCAGGCTGGGCTTCGGCCAGCTCACTAAACACACCCTAGCGATGCTTGGCTTCCTGGACACTCAAGCTGAGAGGAATCCCCACCTTCTGATCTGATGTAGGTCTGCCCGCCTCTTCCCCGTCTGCAGTGGTATCTTGCAAGCTGCTCGCGGACGGCTCGTCGAAGTTCAGATCCTGGCACAGCTGTGCACGAGTAAGTATCTGACTGGGTTGAGTTGGGGGTACCTCCTTGCACGATTTCACCCCTACGCCTTCGCATTTATCGCGAGCTGCTGAACAAAGTGCTCCCACCTCGCGGGCCGCACCGCCGGCAGTCCTCAAAAGGGGTGCCAGCAAACTCAGCGCTCGTTTTGAGATGCATATCCCTGCGGCAGCCCTGCCTCCTGGGATCACAGCTGGCCAAGCAAAGCTTCAGGAAAGCCTGCGCAAGAATCGGGATTTGAGCTCATGCAGAAAAGAAGACCGGAAGGTCCAGAACAGGTGCCTCAAAATTAGATGTCACTGCCTGGCAGGTCTTCATTTTCATGATCCTGGAGGGACCCCTTGGTTTGTCAATGGCAGAGATCCCTCCTGCAAGAGACCAAGTGAACACCTTGAGAATGACAAGGCTGCCAACAATGAGCGTAAGGCACAAAACCTTTCCCTTGCGACCTCCAGCTGCTCCGGGTTCTCATTGTGTCGCTCCTGCAGCGCTTCTGTTCAAGTTTTGGGAAGCCCAGATGGGCGAAGATTCTGGGGGTGGGATGGCTAAACCTGGTTTGTATGCAGTTCTCGACAGCAACCTTGAGAGAATAGAGGGATACCAAGGATCTTCATGGATGTCCACTGAGGATTTCTTGAAAGAGTAGGTATCATGGGCTTCTGGGAGTCAAGCCACAAGACTCAATTGGTGTGTGCCAAAACAATAATTCACAGGGGGATATAGGGGCGGTGGAACTAGAAATGAGAGTTTCCGGCGCACGCATACTGCAACACTGCAAAACTACAATGCATGGCGACTGATTACTAGCAATGACTATGCATTGTATGACTGTTTTCTAACCACCATGGCCGGGGTCTATTCTAAGCATCTTTGTGTAGGGGAAGACCATGAAACTCGATGATGTACCTGCAACACACACAGGGTGCCTCAACCAAAACAGCCTCGACCCGGCCAGTGGCCACAACGTACAGCTCCGTGGTCAGCTCGCCCGTCTGCACAGGCAACAAGGAGGGAACAATGGGACTATGGACAGCGTATTGCGTTTCAACATACCTGTACGCACAAGGACTGCCATTGGGAGATTTTCGTGACTTCCAATATCGATGCTTTGCTCGCAGTAATGAGAAACGTGAGAGAACAGATCAGAGTGGGTCAATGCACGCATGGTAGTGGACTCCTACCGCCATTGCATGAGCTTGGCAGGCACAGGATGCTTCCTTCCCTGTAGCAACCGCGGCGTTGTGCCTCCAAGATGCACATGTGGTAGGGCACCTGGCACAGAAAAGGTCCGAGTTACCTACCATGGTTCAGGAAGCCTTCAAGGGGCACTGTTGAAGGATAGCGTTGAGTTGGAATCAAGACATGCATTGGATGACTATGAAAATTTGTGTGGGGACTGCTACACGCAATCTTTCTTCATTCTCAACTCCTTCACAACCAGGGACGAGGTTGGACACCATAAACACTCGACCTTGGTCTAGAAATTCAAATCCCCTGAACTCAATCTGCACGCTCCTCTATCTGCTTTGAGTCCAAATGACCCACCGAGCCTGCATGGGCGTCACCTGCACCGCCAGCTCTGCCACCAGCCCCTTTTCTGGGGTCTCCAAGCAGGCCTGCAGAGGAGGTGCAAACTTTGGCCTAGGGCTGCCTTTGGGCAGTTTGGGATTTGAGGGGTTAAGGACTGTCAACGTGTGTGAGCACGGCTCGCATGTCTTTTTCTCGATGCGGTCGAGGTTCTCACTGCACATCAGGAGAAATTGCAGGACGGAACAAAAACTACTAAGGCCCCCATGAGTCTCAGGACAAATCGCTGCAAGGCGATATGCGTCCAGCTCGTTCAGCTGGCTCTTCACGATACTTCTGTGACTCAAGGAGGCACAGGCATCAGACAACTCCGCCATCCAAGTCTCTTGTCTAGTCTTCTCTGGCTGGTTGTCTGATCTGGTGCCATCCCCGAGGTGGGAGCAACTGCCTCTGCGTGTCCTCCATGAACCCATTTAGAGGTTACGGTTGCGTCCATCCAGAAGATTGCACCGGCTGTGCAATGAGTGAAACCGACGAACTTCACCTCACGCCATCGTCAGCCCATATCAGCCCTTCAGTTCTTGGGAGGGTTCAGCTTGCCGCTGTCCAGCCTGGGTTCCATCATGCAAGGCAGTCTTTCGCTGGCAACTGACACTCTCAAGCTGGCATTGAACCCGAACTCTCACAGCTCTGAGCCAGCGTGCTCCTTCTGCATCTGCTCCTCAGCATGAAGCAACCGTGCTGCCGGAATTTCAGCCATGCTTGCTGCTTGCCTGCACGCTTAAAGAGGGCAGTCTGGGAACGTCCATCCTCTAGGCTAAGACCATATCGCCTTCCAGTAGATCAAGATTTAAAAGCATTTGCAATTCTGGGCCGTCCTTGGTGAGGAGGCCGGGCAGCTGCAAGTCTTTCTGCGAAGGTCAGGGAACATTGGATGCGGGACCACTAGCAAAGCCAAGCCCTCATGGCCTTGTCCTTAATCAAAGGCTTGCCGTAGTCGGCCTCAATCCAGGTCTTGCCACCTGCGCAGGTTTGGCGACGGTGGCGTTTGCCAACAACGTTGCTGGCTGGAGAAGCTGGGGCAGGCACGCTCCTCATTCAGAGGGTCGTAGCCAGACCATGCCTAGGATCCAAGACTCCATGCCGCGTGTTTCCGGCACGTTGGACCCCAAAGCAAGAACCGCCAAAATTACACCCGACAGTTCTGCAGCTTAGAGGCTGCCAATCCACGGAAGAGCCCGGTCTGGCCCTTGGCACCAGACTGATCCACGTACTTGGGGAACCAGCCTCACACCAGGGTGACCAGTTCCAAACCGGAAGGGAATCTCCTTCTTGGGCTGATAAAGAAACCCTATTTGATCTATATACCTTGGGGTCCCTGATTTTTGACAACTTCCACTTCGGTTTAGGGTTCAGGGCATAGCCGCCGGCGCTGTTGGAAAGCAACTGAAGGCGGCACGCTTGTGCCCGTAGCGCTTCAGCCAGTACCTCAGCAGCTTGACACGCATACATGGATCAGTCCTCAACTAGAATCATTCCATACTCCACAGGGTTAGGGCCGCCAAAACACAAGAGTACCTCAATGTCCTGGACAAACTGAAATGTAGGGCACCGTACTACGTGCATGTACAGACGGGCCATGATCCCACATCGAACGCTGGCTTGTATGCTCCACCTGGCTGCCTACTTCTCGAAGGAAAGCAGTTCCCCCCCTTTTCTCGACCATTGAGCGTGCTTTCTCTCTTAGAACCCCAGGAACCTGTTTGATATCCAGGTATATGGCCAGGGAACTCATTCTCTGCGATCTTCTTCGGGTCGTCGAGGCCAGCCTGGGCAATCTCCTTCTTCAGCTTCCCTCAGCTCGGCAAAGGGAGTGTGGACATGGCAAAGAGATAGCACTGATACAAGTAGATTAGAGGCGGCAGCAGCAATGTCAAATCTGTAGCCAGAAGAAGGTGTAGCTGAAGCGGAAGCAGTAGCAGCAGCAGCAGCAGCGGCAGAAGTAGAAGTAGTAGCAATGTAGTAGAAGTAAGAGAAGTAATAGTAGAAGAAGAAGTAGTAATAGTAGTAGTAGCAGCAGCTGTTGTAGTTGGCAGCGAAAGCAGCAGGTGGTTGGTTGCCTACTTTGCCCAAGGTGAAATGCTTCAAATCACCTGTGGCCCTGCGCAGGGCCCCGCAAGCCCTGGCATGTTTTGTAATGACACGTGTGTTTCTGTCACACACGCCCCGCACCCCATACTCTCTCGTGATCGTTCTCCTAGCTAAGCCAAAGACAAAAAAGTAGGCAGTCGGTCAACAAGCACAAACACAACCAAAAGCAATTTTGGGAATGGCCCCTTCAAATCACGGTCGCCAACTTCACGACTTTCATGACGTACTCTTGGCCCTGTAACGACCAGAAAGGGTACCCAAAGGCCATCGACAATTTTGCAACATTTTGGCTGCTTTGCAAGTAATAACAGTTCTCTTGCCAGGTGGCGGAGCTGGTCGTTGTTGCCGCTGCCGCCGAGCATCTCACCGATCTTCCACTTGAAAGGGCCGATCCTTGGAAACCAACCCATCGACTTAGTAGTTTCCATGTTCTTTCCCATTATCCCTATGTAACCCCAATGTATTACGGTAACCCTAAGAACCCTCCCCCCTTATGGACGTAAGGCTTTCCAGGAAGATTCCAACAGTGCTTGAACAATTCCATTCCTTGGGGATTGCAGCTTCATCCAGAAAGCGTGCGAGCTATCCACCCGGAGTCTCACAATGAACATACATTTTTTGATTGAGTGCCAAACCAGTTTGTCTTGAGCTCCATATGCGTTTCCACAAGAAAAAATCGACAGCAGTAAGCCTAAACCATCAACAACAAATACCTACTCTGAAGCTCTCCCTTCTGCTTGCGCAAAGACATATTCTATCCTCATACTGCTGCCTTCCTACGAAACATATGCAGATGCCTTCTGATCCTGATCACTGCATGCGGGATGCTGGAGCATCGGAGGGCAGTCGATGCCCTTGCGCATCTCAGTTGGTGCAGCACGGTCATCGGCAGTTGATCATGCATAGCTGCACCGGGCTTTTGCGGAACTGTTTACCAGGATCATTGCTAGCATGACTCGGCGTATGCCTGTTTGGCAAGACCACCCCAACTACATGGCAAGAGACCACTTCATGCAGATAGCGCAATGCCTATCTGCATCTGCCCGTCCCTTCGTCCCTTGAGGATTTTCGTCATTTTGAATGAGCCCATAAGCCAGGCACTTCCAAAACCCAAGAAACCCTAAGATTCCTGCATCACTGCTCCCATGAGTGGGACAGCACGCATTAAAGAAGACATGCCTTACGTTTCCCTGAAAGCATCAAGCAACGTAGCCTTCCTCCAGCCATGATAGCAATATGTCTCAGCACCACAGAGAAGCAAAGCATAGCAAAGCAGAGTTCTAAGTTCTAAGCCTCGAAAGTGGAAGCAGAATTCGTACAGACTACATGGAAGAGGCATCTTCAGTTTATGGTCAAAAGGATTTCGCTGCGCGAGATTGCGTCAAGCGAAGAGATGAGTAGTCGCAGCGTTGTTGCAGTAGCAGTAGCAGCACTTGCCAAACAGATGGGGAACCCAAAGACCCCATAATTCTTCTCTTACTCACATGCAAACTGAATTTGAACTAGGGCAGTGGCTTCCTCGGGAGATGCACGCATCCTGTATCGCAAGCCCTGTGCCCACCTCTGCAGAGAAGAGGCTTTCGGGGTTTGGTGGAGGGGCGTGGGTTGAGGAGCTTTCGTAGGATTTAAGAGTTAGGCTTCAGAGCTGAGGATGGTCGGCTTGCATCCACGAGCTCTTTTGCAGTGCTGTGGCGTCAAGGCAGGATGGTGATCTAATAATCTAATATTATCATACTTACCTGATTGTAAAACAGCTCGCGTCAGTCTCCAACCCTAAACCAACTCCTCAGCCCTGAAACCCCAATCCCCCAGCCCAATGCAACTGAAGTGCTGCGACTTCTCGAAGCCCTTCTCCCCGACCCAGTAGCCCTCGGAGGTCTGAAGCGAGCGATCACCTGGGATGATTGTCTATTCGGCGTTCAAGGTTTGAAGCTTCCTGAAGCTTGCTCTGACTGCTCTCCTAGGGGCTATAGCAAGATTACTTTGAGAACTCGTACCTCATGATGCTTTCAAGGATTCGAGATAGACTTTGGGGGGAAGGTCCGAGGGCTGGGAGGTTTGATTGTGTTGAATGATTCGAGGCTACAAGTATCTCCCCGCGCTTGAGATTTCCTGTAGTGCATAAAGGCTGTTGGTGGCTTCCGCTTCGGCTGGAGGCCTTTCTTGTAAGGGCACCTTCTTGCCAAAAGCACCTTCATACTCCAGAGAGGGCTTAATGCTGGTGCTCTTTTGTTGTGGAGGTTCCACTGTTAGTTTCATGATGCATGGTTTCAGGATTAGGAGACCAAACCCCGCAACGCACAGAGCTCTGAAACCGTTCAGAACCCAAACACCTAGTCTGAGATCTTTGAGGTGGGCACCGGCTGATGTTCGGGATTGCCGCCTATACATGAGTGGAACGAAGCCTGATTGCTCTTGTCAAACGCAGTAACGCAGTCTATCCCTGAAACTCCAAGAGCTGAGTCAGCTAGGCATTTCGTAGAACTGGAGTCCTCCTTCGAAGGATGTTGATATTCCGCAGTATAAGGGCACAAAACAAAAGGATGCGTAATCTCAGCAGACTCCCCTACATGATCCCCACAACATTCCTATGAAAAGAGTGGCCGAGAGGCCATCACTCGCCTCCAACATCTTGTCCAGTCGGTAGCCATTCATTGCCGTGCGCGAAGGCGTCCTCTGAAGTCCGATTGACACAGGGCCCTGGCACCCTGGCTACCATAGAGGTGATCATGATAGTGCTGTAACTGGATATGCTTCTCTGCAGTCACATCACATGAGGGCCGCAGTGGCGACACTGCGCGTTGGAATGGTGTCGCTCCTGCTTGTGGCAGGCCCCACAAAGGCCACAAGCCCAGCACAGGCGGCGCAAAGCGCCGCAAGCCTTGAAATTACGGGATTATAGGCTGATAAACCCCATTTCCAGAGTAGCATTGCATCAGTTTCTGACTTCCACAACATCTGGAAACGCAACATTAGGGATTTTCTGCGCGTGACACTCATGGATGCTACTCTGGCGTAATCAGCTGATCCCGTATTGCGACTTGAATGCTGAGCCAGTCACTTCTACCACATTGGCAATGCTGACGAGGATGACGGGTTGTTCCGAGTCACTACTACAAGTTAACTACTGCATCGTGGGCTTGGTGTCATCAGGAGCATTTTGACAGTCGAGGCACGGCGCAAGAATGGACCTGCGTGCCATGGCAGCGGAATGTAGGCAGCGGCGGGGTGAGGTGATCAGGAGCCAATGGCTGCCATGCGCAAGAAATTTAGACAGCAAAAACTGCAACGGAGCCAATGGCATCATGCGATAACACACTGCCCAGAACAGAATAACCCATTACATGATCTGACACCAACAGAAGCAACGTAAAGAGTCCAGGAACAAAGGCCTGGATTGCTTGGAAGTACACCTTCTGCGAAGCTTCAACCTGGGTCACTGCTATGGGCGGATGCAGGAGCCAACATCTGGAAACGGGGGTCTCTGACGCCACGCGCAACAACTTGTAGTGCTGCAAGGACACCAACAGTTTTGAGCCACCCTAAACCCTGAACCCTAAGCCCTGAACCCTAAATAGTAGTTTCCATTTTTCCATTATCCCCTATATAACTCCTTCATATTACCCCTATATAACTTATTCCGGGACAGCCCGCTCAGACCAGGCTCCCAGCCAGCTGGCTACGGAGATGCGTCGGCAGGGATAGTAGCATGGTGTGCTCGTCCTGGTGTTTGTGGGCTACTTAGGGCATCAAACATTGAGTGACAAACGTTGCCCAATCCCTACAAAACCTTCAGCCCTAACCCACACTGTTTGGTTGATTCAGCTCGTCATGTTGAACCCACTCCTCCACCATGAAATTAGATGCCAGAATATTCCATGAAATTTCCCACATAATCCCTATCATATTGCTTCATCCCACCATATGTACCACCTCTACCTCCCGATGAAGCCCCCATGTCATCCGAAAAAGCTCCAAACAAGCCCACAGGATCATCCCAGAAGGCGGGGAGGGGGGGGCTCAGGACGATCCGGTTGAATGACAGGGGGGTTTCCCAAAATTAAGGCTTTAGGGTTTAAGGATCCCTTTTGGGGGATTCCTATGATAAGCATTGCATTAAGGATTCGATCAGCGTAATCTCAGGAAACTCAAATAGTTTCTCTGCGATTGCCCACATGAATCTCTTGCAGGGAAACCATGTTTCAATATTATGGGGGCCAGCGGGAGGTCATACTACCCCAAACTCGAAACCTTGAAGGCCCAAAACCCTAAAACCCAAAGTCCAAACCCTAAATATTGCGATCAATCGCCAGGGCCCCAAGGCCTTGAAGGCCGACCTCTGTGCCGTGACATAGCAGAAGTGTGACCACACCTGACGCTCATCCAAGTAGAGGTTTAAAATTTGGGTATTACAGTTGGGGGGTTTCAGGGCTGCCCGTGGATCCCTGGGAGTATACAAGCCTTTGGGATGCAGGGCTTTCGAATTGGGAGGCGGGCCTTTGCATGGATTCTTACAGTTGTGATTCCTCCTTTAGCGTTATGACAAATGATTCTAGGAAGTAGGCAGCATGCTCATGGACCATTTACCTCTGGCCGTGCAGCAAGGATGAACTTCCCTGCAGTGACTCTCCAGTGCAATGCCACAAAGTCAATTGCCCAAACACGAGAAAAAGTTGAACCGAATTCTGGCAGCCCTGTTGAGCCTCAAACTTGGGTGATGATCCTCTAAGACGAAGCAATGCAAGCGACGTCACACGAATCAGTCGGGGAAAGAAGACTGAC